AGCTGCCCCTCCACTACAGAGTAATAAAACAGTTGTGGGGATGTTCTCTGCTCGCTGGGGAGGCTTGTTCCAGGATTTTTTAAAAGCGTCCTATTTTAACAAAAACTTACTGTAACTCCTAGAAAATAAAAACAAACAAACCAAACAGAGCAGTGTGTGTTCATGTATTTTGCATTGAGCCTTATTGCACTGTTATTACGTAATCCCGTGCGGTTGCCATTGGTGTCGAGCTCTTTAAATGGTGCCGCTCGGCGCGTGCTGTCAGGCCCTCGCCTCCGATTGGCTGAGAGGCGGCGGCGAGGTGCAAGGGGGGGCGTGTCCCGGCGCGGTCATGTGACCCAGAGAGGGATGAGAGCTTACGGAGATTAAGGCGCAGCAGCAGACTCCTACATCCGCCGCACGGAGACGGACGGTGCCAGCTGCTAGCCCCGTTAGCCGCCGTAGACTGTTAGCAACTAGCTCCGGAGCTGCTTCGCTTCATATGAGGCACCGAGCACGAGTGTGTGTGTGAGGAGGCAGAGTGTGTGTGTGTGTCCCGAAGTCACTCTCTCCGTGTGTGTGTGTTCATATAAACCCACCTCCCTCCCGAGTGTGTGTGTGTCGGTGTGTTGGTGTGTGTGTGTGTGTGGTTAGCAAACGTATAAACACTGTAAGTAGTCGACTGTTTACACTCGGTGTCCGGTTACTTGGCAGCGGATTGACATCAGTGAGTGGCACCGACGCACCGACCGACCGACCGACCGAGCAGCAGCAGCAGCAGCAGCAGCAGCAGCATGTGAGTACCGATGAGGAACCTGTCCTGTCATTGATTGTATGTGAGGCTCAACACGAAGCTGCTTCTTCCTGCAGGGACACATGTTAGAAGTTGCTGTCATAGCTGCACAGTTGTTGCTGCACAGGGACATGTGCAGCCACGAGCTGTCTGCAGGAACTTGTTTAGAAAGTCAACACAGACTTATTTGTCTTGTTTGTTTGAGCTCAGTACACTCTGCAGGTGTCATTATGCACAGAAAGTGGATGTGGATGTCCTGTGTGCTCCGCTGGCTGCACTGTCAGTTGTCACATATGTGGTGCTTTGTTGCATGAGATCAAACACACACACACAAGTAGGAAGCATTCAAAGAAGCAAGTGTTGCAAGTGAGCAGACAGCATGCATTTCAATAGTACATCATGCAGGTTTTTTTTTTTTTTTTATCAGTTGGCAAACAACTGTTTTGGTTCCCAGCTTCTTCCACACTGTTTATTAAAGCCACGCGTAATCTAGCTGTGACCAGCAGCTTCTGATGACACAACGCTGCCCAGTCAGTTCACCTCAAACTGGAAACGAGCCCAGTTTGTATTTTCTTGCAACAAAAGTTTGTTTTATGTTTGCAGGATAAATATATAAAAACCTGGCTGTTGTCATTTCATCCAAAGTAGTATGAAGCTAATAATAGCTTTAATTTGTGTCATTGTTACACCTGTTTCATCAAAATGTAAGATGTAAGGAATAATTATCAGGCAAGAAAAAAAATAACAAAAAAAAATTTTTTTTTGAAATTTATTTGGATTTATTTAAAAATAACAACAATAATAAAAATGCAATAAAATGCTACACCATTTTATTTTTATTTTTATTTTAGTTCACGCAACATCCCAAAAGTTTGCTGCCATTAAAAATGTAAAAAAGGCAATTTTTTAATCAATTTTTAAAAAATTAATTGGGATTTATTTAAGAGAGAATTTAATTTCATATCGCTGCTATCGTGCACTAGAAAACATAATTATTAATCTGCTAACATTAGCATCTCTTTTTCTTTAAATTTCTGCAACATTTCAAAAGTTTGCTTGACAAAGATTTGCAAACACAGCTACAGTGATATCATCTGCTTTTAATACAATAAATAAATAATAAATCTGTTCCACTCCTGCAATCAAAATATATTTAAAAAAAGCAGAAATTCCAAATTTCCAACTTTAAATTTTTTTTTCTGGATTTATTTGGAAGAGAATTTAAATTCAGATCATTGGTATTGTGCGCTTGAATAATATAAATTAATCTACTTTTGCTACTTTTATATATCTGCTGGGAAAAAAGCATGTTTCTTAAGTGTTAAAAATGGAAAAAACAACATTTAATAGGCCTTCATAAAGCTGAGACGCCTCCTTTCATACACTATATTTAATTTAATTCTGCATACTTTAGTGGTATGACCACATAAATGTAGAATAAATGTGATTGTTTTAAAGTAAATATGACTTCTGGAGTCACTTTAATCAATACAAACATACTACTGTGAACAGACAGTAAACTTTCCAAGACAAATAAGAAGCCAAATAATAATTTAAACAAAGCGTGGGCAATCCAAGGAATTCTAATACAGACATATTGACAGTGTGGAGGATTGTCCTTTCACACCAGCAGCATTTAAAGTTAGAGGTTTTCACCACGCTGAGGTATTTCTACGAGCAGGAGGGGCAGTTTCCTCATGTGAAGACGGGAGTAATTGCTTGTTTACGTGCTGAAACTTGCAGATTGCATAAGATGCTTGTTTGCTTGTGAGCCACACATGATTCTTCTTCTTCTTCTCACCGATTCATGTTCTGCACCGCTTTGGTCTCTGTCTGCTCTTTCACCTTTGAACCATCTGTTGTGTCACTTTGCTGTTTGTTCATCCTCAACCTTTACTCCAACAGCGGTGCACCTGTCCGGCCGCCCAGTTTAATAAGCAAGCGGTTGTCTTAAAGCCTCTTAATGTGTAGCTGCTTTGTGCGGTCGACTGACACTCACCTCCTTCACTGTTGTTGTTGCAATAATGCCAAGAAAGTAGATTCATTCATTGCTGTGTCACGACTGAGAGGAGCTTCTGTGCTTCCTTTTCCAGGAGAAAACACCCAAATCTCCGAAGAGCAAGTTTTATTTCTGGATTTCTAGAGAGATGTAGCAACAGGGCTTGAGTTGTTTTTTGCATTTTCTACAACCATCAGCTGTTTGTGCTGCAGTGACAGTTGAGCTGTGATGGTCTGGAGGTCTTATAGCTCCACAAGCAAGGCTGCTCTGATGTATTGTCATGTTTTAAATCTTCTCTCCTGCAATGCTTTGTGTTGTAAGTCAAAGCTGAATGTGTTTTGCATCAAGAAGTGCACTTAAAAAAAAAAGCATATATCTGTATCCCTGCATGTAATTTGTCTGGTTTGATATGTTGCTCATTGTGTTGTATTTTTAATGAGAATACATGTGTGTCATGCTGTAAACCCTGATCTGTCGTGTGTTTACCTGTAGCACCGTGCTAGCAGCTTATGCTAACAGCAACTTTCCCCCCAAAGCAGGCAACGGATGATTTGAAAACCGAATAAATTTAAAGTTTGCATCAGCGCAGACTTGCTCCTGCAGGGCTGTCGGCTAATTGGTGTCCCGACCTGTTGTTTTGGTTCTCATGAAGCAGGAAAAAACGGCATTATTTATACCTTTTGGGAAATGCCGGACCTCCTTGTGCTTCATGCTGCTCAGGCGCCGTCCGGCTATTTGCAATTAGGCAGGTACAAACAGAGCAGAAGTGGTTCCAGCGGTGCCATTAGACCTGCAGCGCTGCACCAATTTGGATTCAAATTAACCTCCGAAGGGTGAAGATTATTTTGCCCACCTTTTGTTTTCTGTTGTGCTGTCGGTGTTTGGTTGAGCCTCGTGGGCCACGGCTGGATATAATGAGAGCAAAAGTTGTGGAAAAATAATTTCTAACGCAGACGTGGGAATCCAAAGTGAGCGTTTTGCATAAAAAGGGACTTGTTAAGTGGGTAGTGGCTGGGCTTTGGTGTTTTTTTCAGAGCGATTAAGGTTGAGCGGAATGCAGCCCATAGGCCAGTTTATGCAAACCAGTGCTCTCTGAAGTTCTCTTGTCTAGAACTTCACACCATTATTGTGTTTCTGCGACGGTTTTTCTTGGATAGATATAAAAAAAAAACAGCTTGAATTTCTTAATGAAACTGCAGGTCTTTGGTGGTTTGATCATGTGAAGGGATAAGAAGTTAAATAAATTCCTGGCTTCTGTGCAAAAACATGTAAAGCGCCGGCTTGCACAAGAACTCTTCAAGAGTGATGCGAGTGTTATCGTCCGTCTTCGCAGCAGGAGGATGGAGCATCTTGTTGACACAGCTGCCATGACGGTGAAAGTCAAAAAGCAGCAGACGTGGTGTGTCTCTATAAGGCTTCTCAATGCATGTTCAGATCTATGTGGCTTCAGCAGTCAAGGAAATGTCAGCTTAATAACACATTTATTACAATATATGTGTGTTTAAAGCGTACAACTGTGTCCCTGCTCTTATTGTGAATTCACACCCGTGATCTTCTGTTCCTTCCAGAAGCTCGATATTCGAACCTTTTAAGGCACCACTTTCTAGTCCAGTCACAAGCCTTTGTTTTGTCCACACAGTTTCACTTTGCTAACCTTGTTCCTGCTGCGTGAGCTGGTGCTGCAGAAGACCATTTAGATCTCCTCGGTCCTGGATGTTTCCTGGCCCTGCGTGGATAGCAGTGGAGCTACCAGGCCGAGCCGCTTCAGTCAAAGCTGTGACTAAAGTTCAAGAAAAGTTTACAAGAACGAGGCCTGATCTTTGCTCCCTGTGATTTCGTTCCAGTTTGCTTCAATAGAATCATTGCAAAGATGCATTAACGTGTCGGTTTACACAACGTCGCTTCTGCAGGCTGTCAGCTCAGAGGAAGGTGGGACGCAGACCGCTGAGCTGGAAGAAGGGAGGAAGGACGGCAGTGTGGATGAGTGCACATCCATTTTCCGTTTGTTGTTGTTCTCTGTCCACGTCTAACGAGAAGCAACGGCGGTCCGTTTAGAATCTGCTCGAACATGTTATTTATTCTGTTGAGACCGGCTTCTAGGTGGTGAAGCTGCTTTCAGGTGTGTTTTGGATCGTTTTGGATGTTGGATTCTAATGTGTCGCATCTCACATGACTGTATGTTCACACAGAGCATCAGGCCTTGACCTGAAGGTTAACGTCATCATAAATAACTGGTTCTTTATGTTTGTAATTTGGAAGCTTCTCCTGGGTTCACCTCACCGGCTCAGCTCTGTTTGCTCCATATAACAGAGCACAAGTTTAAAGGTCCAGTGTGTCAGATTTAGACTTATTTTGGCAGAAATGGAAGAAAATATTCACAACTGTGTCTTCAATTGTGTTAAATCATCTGTAAATAAGGACTGCTGTGTGTTCGCTAACTTGAAATGAGCTCTTTATGACATTTTATGATGATTTTTATTAAAAAACGTGATCATCTTTGACTTTTTAAAGCTTTGTTCAGCAAAAGATTGCACTCTTAAGACCTCTGTAGGAAAAAGGAGCGAGTCTGTGACCATAACTGTGCTGTGTGATGATGGAGTGTGATCCAGTTAGATGCTGGCGCTGGATTATTTACAGCATTATTATTATTATTGTGTGTTATTAACGTCATGTGACAGCTGCAAATAAAATGCTTCGTCTCAGGTGGTATTGATGATGTTTTATGAACTATGTTTATTAAAGACCAGCAGAAAAAAGGTACAAATGTTGCTGTTTTTTTATTTTATTTGTTAAATTTAGGCACATAGATGATAATTTAAATGTTATTGTGATGATAGAAAACAGACAGAATACATGAAATAAGACGCATAAGGATGAAGGAATCATCTCACCTTGATAAACATTAAATAAAGAAAGAAAAGAACGTGTTGGTCAGGGTTAGTTTTTAGAGTTTTTACACATTTTTAGAGCAATTTGTGGTTATTTTTCAGATTGTGCTCGTTTT